ATTAATATCTTTGAAATCTACTTATTATCATTATAAGTAACGCAATCGATTGATATGTCAGCATACTTTTTGGAATAGGTATATATTTCGTTAAAAGTCAATTCTGCCTCTTGGTCTACCTATTCTCGTGATAATTTTGCGCGGTGGTAATATATCGTAATTATAGGCCGCATTTCCCTGGTTCGATTCTTTTAAAGGGTGCTGACGAGACCCAGGCGTGGTCGAAACTGCAATCCACTCTAAATAACCATTCCTTCTAGGAAGCAATGCTAGATGAAATTCATTGACTTCTTGTGGCTTATCTATTAGTCCTCCATCACTTTGTATAACCTAGAGTGATTAGAACTCTTATTCAAGATCCCTAGATAGTCTCGAAACCTACTTGCTTGACACTCCTTATGTACTCGTACATTTTTAGGCTCATTGTAAACATCAAGTTAGCATAATCTTGAGGCTAGATTTCCCTTATTCTTTAATTGTATTATTTAGTTTTACGAAAAAATCCCCCCTAGTCCACCCTAAAATTTATACTTTACAACCCACACTCAATCTATCCCTAGCTTGATCTTGAGGCTTGTCGTTTATTGGATTTACTGGCCGGATTCCTTCATGCCTGTGCCGGATCTATTGAGATGCATCTCATAGCACACAACGTGCCAAATCTACACGGTGCCACTTTATCCTCACAACATCCGGAATCTTCCGGTTTACCAGTAGCCACAGTCAGCCGCCTACATGATATATGGTTGTCGGCCACTACGCCGAAACAGTCATGTCGCTTGCTTGCAACAGAGAATCAGCAATATACTAAGATGGAGCATCTAAATTGGCGCACGAAGCTTCTCAGTTTGATCTATCAACCCTATTTAGCCGACCTTCTGCCACGGCTTCTTGCCTCCCCACTCACTTCTCCGTATGCCTTGCGCACGCACATCGGATTGATTTTACTTTGCTTTGCGTCTAAAGGTAGAGCTAATGTTCTCTTTTTTCTCTATCCGACTTTTATATTCATCAACGTTGGTCTCCTCTGTCTTCTTGCAAATATGCTCCCACCATTTTCCGCTCTCTTTCCTTTTTTTATCTTTTCATCTTATTTTTAGCTTATTCTCCTTATTGCCATCATTGTTCATTATATCCACTTACATCTCCTTAGTGTTCCTTGAATGAGGTGATACACCATTTTACACTTTGTTTACTCTTGAGAAGGTTCCCTTTGAAAGTCAAGTCGACTACCTCGTCTTACTCCCGTTCCTCTTAAACTTAATTTTATGCTTATTTTTGGGATATTCAGAACAATTTATCATTGGATGAGTTTCATTTGAGGCAATAATTTAGGCCGCTACATATCAGAGTCTTTCTTTATTCGTCTTCTTGATATACTTTCTTTATAATTTATTTCACAGATGAAGCTCATTTTCCTAATGCAATGCACCAGCTTGTCGCTTGGTGGTCTCTTCGACTCTCTGCTCCTGTTCGCCTCATCCTCTCTCGAGAAGACGACTTGCCGCCTGTTACTTCGCCTCATGCAACACTCATTTCCACCCCAACTGCAATTCAAACAGTCGGCTCCTCAGTAGCGCCTGTTTCTGTAACTGCAATTCTGTCAGAAGCAATCGGTCGCCCCAGTATAAAGGATTCTAGCGAGGAAGATCGTGAGATTGCAATCCAACTGGCGATAAAGGCAGCCCACGATATTGTTGAAACGTGGTCAGCCACTCCGCTTTCCCTGCAGACGGTAGCAGTATTGGAATATTTGGCTAAAGTGTGTGGTCTCTTAACATATCATTTTTTACTTGAATTTTTTTCATCAAAAATTGTATTGATACTTTAGTAGTGAATCTTGCC